GTTACTGTGGGATCTTCGCCAGAATTCAAGACAAAATTTCTCAGTTATCCTCTCATTTGAATAAAATCGAGTTTCAGAAGTTTAGGCTGCGTTCATACTGATTCCCTTGTTCTGGAACTGTTCCCGCACAGTTCTCGCACTGTGCGGGAACTGTGCGGGAACTGTGCGGGAACTGTGCGGGAACAGTTCCAGCACTGTGCTGCATGCGCTGCAGCCGCCCCGCACCGTTTTGAACGGCGGGAGTTGGAGAATTTTGACCGTTTCCAACGGTTTTTCTTCCAGATTTCGCTCATTTTGGCCTTAATCCTCCACCCCACTTCCCTTTTTGATCAGCAGCACTGCGAACTCGAAGCGGAGTTGAAGAATGAGCGCTTTTCTGCGCCTTGTATTCGGAAAGATGGGCTATCGTGCGATTGTTCATTCTGTCTTCTTGTTTTTTGCTCAAAACTACTTCATTTGTTCCAGGAAGCGGCTGCCCAGTCTCCATAGCCATCTGCCACGAATTAGGAGTAGGAGAAATCCTGAAATTGCATGAGTTGGGACTTGTCTCTTGGTTTTCATGATTTTGGGCGTTCTTAGCCTTGTTCGTTTTTCCATGTCGTTGCTTCTCCGTTCTTTCTTCTACACCGCTTCTCCTAGTGATGAGAAAGCTGTGAATTTGAAGCGGTGTTGAGGATTGAACGCTGTTCTGCTCCATGTATCCGGGAATATGGGCCTTCGTGCGCTCGTCCATTCTCTCATCGCTATTTTTGTTGAAACCTACTTCATATGTACTAGCAAGTCGCTGCGTAGTTTCGCATCTGTATTGAAATTGACATAGACAAGTCTCTAGAACACATAAAGTAGGCCTGAACAAAAACAGAGAAGATGGACGAGCGCACGAAGGCCCATATTCCCGGATACATCGAGCAGAACAGCGTTCAATCCTCAACCCCGCTTCAAATTCACAGCTTTCTCATCACTAGGAGAAGCGGTGTAGAAGAAAGAACGGAGAAGCAACGACATGGAAAAACGAACAAGGCTAAGAACGCCCAAAATCATGAAAACCAAGAGACAAGTCCCAACTCATGCAATTTCAGGATTTCTCCTACTCCCTAATTCGTGGCAGATGGCTATGGAGACTGGGCAGCCGCTTCCTGGAACAAATGAAGTAGTTTTGAGCAAAAAACAAGAAGACAGAATGAACAATCGCACGATAGCCCATCTTTCCGAATACAAGGCGCAGAAAAGCGCTCATTCTTCAACCCCGCTTCGAGTTCGCAGTGCTGCTGATCAAAAAGGGAAGTGGGGTGGAGGATTAAGGCCAAAATGAGCGAAATCTGGAAGAAAAACCGTTGGAAACGGTCCAAATTCTCCAACTCCCGCCGTTCAAAACGGTGCGGGGCGGCTGCAGCGCATGCAGCACAGTGCTGGAACTGTTCCCGCACAGTTCCCGCACAGTGCGAGAACTGTGCGGGAACAGTTCCAGAACAAGGGAATCAGTATGAACGCAGCCTTAGGAAAGCTATTGGAGTTAAATAAAAACGAGAAACTGCGCTTAAATCTTGCGCAGAGAGTCGCGCACAAAAACGCTGGTCTATCTCGTTAATGAGTGATTTGCAAAGCTTGGGACGTTGTCAGTTCTCCTCGTCGTGTCATTACGATCAGAATGATATATAATGTTGCAGAGTTTGGTTGAGACCCCGCGGAGATCTACGATCAGAGCCAAATGCCCCGTCGGCTCTGGTCTATCTCCGCTGCTCGTCTGCGACTCCGCGCACTGCGCGCTACCTCGCTACCCCAAACGCGGGGCGCGGTGCATATGGCTCTGGTACCCTTTTCTTCGCTGTTTCGAACCCAATTTTAGCAAGCTATATATCATTTGGAAGCTCTTGATCTCTATTTTCACGCTGACAACGTCCCAGAACCACATTTTTTAATCTGATCGAAAAATCCGGCAAAAACCTTGTTTTCGAAGATCTCGTTTTTCTCCTAGTTTAACTATTTTCAAGCGGTTTTTTCGTGGAATCTATAGATCTTGCTTCTGTTCATAACGCAGACAACCACCCAGCCCTTTCCTCTTCGATTATGATGGAATTTTTTGCGAAAAATCGTAAAAAGTGCGTTTTTCTTTACCTTGTTCTGTTTCAGTGCTTTCGCATCGATTTTTTTCCAGCTTGGGCGACTATTGCTCAGAACAATAAGCGCAACAATCCAGACAACGTCTCAGGAAACAGGAACCTCAATGCGGGGGTAAAAATTCAAAGGACGCATCAAAAATCAAAACCCCGTGTTGCGAATTGCTGGTCCTGGAGCGAAAACGTGCACTTTGAAAAGCCGCCAAATAAAAGACTTCAGACCTTTTTGCAGCTTTTATCCGGTTTTCAGCAGTTTCTTTTGCTCATATGTTTTACGTCATATTCTCTTCTCTGATCTTCTTTAAACAACCTTCACTATTTAAGACGTTAGATGTTCAAACAACCTTCAATTTTGACGCCCTATCTCTAGACTATCGAAGGTATGGTCATGAGGAAAAACGCTAGATTTGACGCCTCTTTCCTATGCTGCGAAAAGAATCATATCAAGACAGATCGCAGGTGAGCATAGAAGTAAGAAAAATGGCAATCTTGCTGCTTCAAAAACGATTAATCACGAGTTACAAATGATAAAAACAAGGCCCGCGACGTTGTGCGCAGCATCTCAAATAATCACTGGAGAGGCGGTCGTGCGATTTATGTGCAGGCGGGCATCGGAAAAGTAGTTCGTTAATTTATTGCGCTCCGCTTGCAGATTTTGGGAAGAATTTTGCGGCCAAAAAGGGCTCTAACGTAGGCGAGAAATCAAAAAGAAGCAAGGTCTTCCCCACGGTGAATTCACGCTCCAAGCTTCCGGAGCGATCTTCTCGGTCCCGATTTCAAGACATGCATTTGCATCTGGCCTGTGGAGATCTCAGGGCGCTAGCAAAATTAAGAAAATCGCTTCAGAAGCTGGGACCGCGATATTCACATTGGGGGAGTTTTGGCGAAATTTTAGAATTTTGGCGGGATTTTGAAAGAATGCTTGGAGATCAATTGCGTCTTTTTCATATATTAGTTCCGGCGCAGTGGCCGCATTCTCGCGCACCTTCCGCAAGAATATGCAAAATTATTGAGGGCTGCACGGTCCCCTGCGAAGGACAGCAAAGCCCGTAGGTACCTTCCGCTGAAAGAAAGTACCTCAAACTCCGGCAATAAACCATCGATGACACCTTTGCGATATAGAGTCTTACGTTAGCTGGCGTACGCCAGAAACTGCGTAAAAAGAGTCCGAGTGCCTGCTGAAAGTTTGGCTAGCTCTTGCTGAAAGAAAGCCTTTGACAAGCGCTTGCAGAAAATTTTGTGTTGTTGCGCTGACAGAACACGAAAATACCGCTCGGTGAAGGTTTTGCCACGCCCCACAATTTTGCTGACCACTTGCAAAAAAACGCGTGTTTGCGGACCGCCTGCCCCCGGCGATTATCTGAGATGGTCCCTGCACGCTGCGCGTACAGTAACGTGGATGTATGACTGCAAGCGGCGCTGGTCTCGTCAAACTATTGTACACACAGACACATAGACAGACATACAAACCGATATATTCTTTACATGAGACTTCTATATAAGCCTTTCTCTGAATTTGATCGTTAGAGCGGATTTTTCGCTCCTGTTCGCGCAATCGCGTCCAAATTTTCAGGGTGGGTACACTTGCCTCACTCACAATTCCAAAATTCTCTTACTGAATGTAGCTTTGAGAGCTGCGCTGTATTTGTAAAGGTTCGATTCGTGATGCACCAAACCTCGTGTTTCGGTACTCCCTTTCCGATTTTATTCAAAAAATATGAACGTCTGTTTGTATGTCTGTCTGTCTGTGTGTACGTATGTTCCGAATAGAAAATTCCATTTCTGGACCGATCCGGACCAAACTTTGCATACACCTCGGGACCGGGCGGGTGTCATAGGCCACTTTTCGTCATCGATCGATATCGATTATCGATTTTTATCAATTTTTTGCAGAGTTCACCTACGAGGGAATTGGCACAGGGGGTAACCGAGCATGCTGATTACGAATACAATATTAATTTTTGGAATTATCCATTATTTCATCAATTTTATTAATTTTTTCATTTGAGCTGAAGGGCTGGGAGTTGGCACAGGAAGGTAATCGAGCACGTTGATTACGAGTACAATATTAGATATTGAAATCGTCCATTACTTCTATCGATTATATCGATTGTTTTGTAAAGTTTGATCTACGGGGCTGGGAGTTGGCACAGAGAGGTAGGTGGGCACGCTGACTTCGAAAAAACAACAGGAAAAGGGAAGTGAAGTGTAGAAGTGGGCAAGGGGAAGGGATAGAAATGAGAGCTTTACCATAGTGTTTTGACAGGGCTGGCCGGAGCCGGGTAAGCCAGTTAGAACTAAAATAAGATATTTTGCCTCACCCTCTACATACGTACATAGAAGCATTCAGCTTTATAAACAAGATTGAAAACGCCGCTCCTCTCGCCGCAGGGATGTTAGTGCATGTGGGCCTTGCCCAACTCGCGCTGCCAAAAGTTGCTACCGAATAAAAAACTGCTTCGAAAATCCCTTCGGATGACGGATTCGCCACGTTGCTCCTCCTCTATGAAAAGGGGTGTCGTTCGTCCTGCCCATCCGTGCTCATCTAACCAAACACAGTCGGGAGAACTCACCCTATGGGTGTTCGAGGCGGGGGTTGTCGGGTTTTGCGGATTCGCGAGTTGATATTCAAAACCGGGGCATGAGAAGGCCCCGAAACGACAAAAACATGAAAGTTGAGAAATTGGGTGGGCATTGCCTTTAAGTGGCAGCTACACAAATCACACAACATTCAGCGGAATCAAAGTGACAAGTGATAAGGCTGTCCTTAGCTGGGGGATTAGTGGGGCCCTCATGGCAGCTCGCTGACAGCCTTCAATTATGTAATCTTCTAAACGAGTGGGTGGTGAAACTTGTCTGGAAGAATACTGTAATGCAGCTTACTTGTCTGACGTGGTTCATATCATCTGTCACAAATGCTATGCCATACATGGCGTCTTTAGCAACATCTGCCCATTGAATATATTTTTCTACTACTTTCTTGAAAAATTTGACAGTTTTTCGCACAACCTGAATAGCAAATTCAAGAAAATTTCAAACAGCGTCCACAGCACTCTCACATACAATTGTGCGGATTTCCGTCCTTCGGGCTATGGCGGAATCTAAAAGGTGCCTGAGGCACCCCACCACTTCTTTGATTTCTTCATAATCCCGTCTCCTTATATATTTGTACTTCAAACAGGCAACAATCTGGAATTTGTATTTAGCTCTTATCTTCTAACATGGACGGAAACGTACCTTAAAAAACAAGTTTGATCGCCAGCACCTCGCTTTGCACTCTTCGCAGTGAGCTGCGATGAGTGAAAGACAAGAAAAGCAAGGCATACGGATGCTGCCGGCTTCGATCACAACAGCCAGAACTTCGATTATATCCTGCAAAATTCAACCTTCATACAAGTTACTTTTCAAGAGCTATACCATGTCCACTATCATGTGTATTTCGCTGGATTTATATGCGAATTCCCTGACGGCCCAGATAGCATTACTCTTCGTGTCGATGCTATAGTGCTCGCCGTTCACAAGTCTTATAAGGCGATCAATCTGAAAATTGAAAGCATCTTATTGAAATTTTGAAGAATTGAGCCTCTAGCACGCAGACTTCGGGAAACTGAGTGATTTCTGGAATGATAGAAGTTAGCAGGTGAGGCATGCGGCAAGCCTTCACAGTTTGCAGACTTTGATAGTGGAACTAACGCAGACCTGAACGGCGGTTTAGAGAGACCTTCATCAAATCCATGGACTTTGAAGTGTGCCACGCAAGAAACTCAATTTGGTCTGATAAGATAGTTCTGATTCAGGGAAGTTTGAAGGTTTTTTGGTAACTCAAAGTGGCTCTATATTCGTAAAATAAAAGAAGGCGTTTACGGTATCAACATAATTGCAACTTTTCGTTACTGTCCTAGTGAAACGAATTTCGGGGTTTTTATAATTTTCAGGTTGATCACGCTGAACGCAGTGGCTGCACTGACACAGGAAGTCATGAGGCACGGTCGACGCGAATTTTCAAACGATGCCGCAAGCCATGTCCATGATAAGGGGCCACCACTCCTGATGCAGTATTACTTATGGCATCAAGTCATGTATCTACCCCCACTTCTATCTCTTAGTCCGGCGCAGTGCCACTCTAGCAGGGGAGTTTTGTCACAAAATTGAACTGCGCGTGCCCCCCTAACGTTTAGTCGACTGCACCTACCGCAGCAGCTGTTGCAGCCTGTGTATATAAAAGGTCAGTGGAAGCAATCACTTAAAAACGCAGTGATATCATCTAAAAAGTCAATTCTTCGATCACGTGACTTGGATCAAATTTTAGCCTTGCATGCGTTCACAATTAGCTGGCTGGCTTTTGGCTTTACCTCTCCAACTCCTTGCATCTAAGAAAGATCTCTTCTTATTAACCTGTCTAAGTCTGCATATTTTTTGTGTTGGTTGTTGGTTGTTAAAGTGCGCAAGATTGTAGTAGATTTGCAATTATAATTCAACGCACGTCCATCTCCCTGCCAACTCGCTTTTCCTTACAAGTCTCAAAACACGTAACATCTAACCGAAAGTGATACCTGAAGAAAATGAACAGGCTCGATAAACACAGTTATAGTGTGAGGGCCCCGGCCAGCTCCCCATAGGGACCTGTGCAACCCCCCGCAACGCATGCCTTCAGTGCGCCTCCTGTCCTAGCTTCTGATGGAATCTCTGGCTTTTCTCTCATTTTCTTGTTTTTATTGTACTATAATATATTCCTAAAATACAGGTATAAGCAACCCGCGATGACCGGTGACCGGCTTTCACATGCTCTGATAGTCCTGAGAGCTTCAGTTTCCATTAGTAGTCTTGTTTTTCCTTTTTTTTTGAGGAATTGAGATTTGAGTGAAGGCCCTAGGCGCCAAATAACTGAAACGTTGCAGAAAAATTCGGACTCCACTACACAAGCTTTACGACTCTCTTCTCAATTGTAAAAGTGCTGATCGGACGATTCTATAAAATGTTATGATTATTGAGTTTACAATATAAGAAATGTAACTGCCATTTTTTTTTCAAAAATCTGAACTTTTAATAAAGACGTCCGATTAGGACAAACTTTTTACATTTGGGAAGCATGAGTCGTAAAACTTGTGGACTGACGATTCCGGATTTTTTCTGCAACGTCTCAGATTTCTGGCGACCTAACATAATGATCGGAGCTTAGTTATCTCACCAGTTTTTGGAACAAACTCGCTGAGATAGTACTACAATGTATTAGGTTGTCCCGAAAGTTTTGTCCGTTTATTCACTATAAAACCACGCACAATAAAGACCTGAATAAGCTTTAACATGCATTCGATGTAGCTTTTAATTCTCTTTACAGATTCGCTCCATAATCTTGTAAGATTTTTTTGATAATTGCCAAAATTCTTCACCCGTCAATTTTATCTGTTCACAGGCTAATTTTCAAAAATTTCATTTCAAAGTTCCGGGAAAGGTAAAGTATGGATTAGACAGAGCAATTCTCGGGCTACAAGGTGGTGTTTTCATATTTTCCTAGTCTGCTGTTTTTAGCCTCAAAAAATTATTTTTTCAGAGGTCTCGATTTTTGGCCAAGTCTTGAAACACGCAACGCAGCTGCAGCAAATACACGAATGCTTTTGAAATTTCTGTGAATTGAAACATGACTCTTATCAAACATTATTTATGCAACATGCCTAAGTTTGATTTGCTTTGAAAAAGCAGCTTTTTGGGATTTTTGATACCTTCACGCGGTAAACGTTATCAAAAAGCCGCGGTTTTTATTACATAAATAACTATGACGGATTTGGTAACGTGATCTAAAATAAGTACAATGTAGCCAAAGTTTGCTCTAGATAACAGTTACCAGCACTCAGTGAAAACGTCAGGATAAAAATTTTTGACCGGAAAGATTTGCGTAACTGCTAAGCTGTTTAAAAACCCATGGCTATAAGATGGCAAAGACAGGGTAGAGCAGAGAGCAAATATAGCTGTAAGAAAGAGGATAAAAATCTGAATAAAAAGGTCTCTAAGCCATCCTTGAATTGGTGTTCTGAGAGTTTTAGTGAGCGATGAAAAAATAGGACAAAACTTTCGGGACAACCTAATATATTAGCAAATACGTTTGATAAGGAGAAGTTACGATTTTCGAAAACGAAATGACAGAACTTTCGTACGACCTGATATTCTTTCATAAGCAATTATAAATTTGTGTACAGGGTATGGAAAATTAGAATATTATCTAATAGAAAATTAAAATATCATCTAAATTACGCAAGAATTTTAGCGTCAATAACCAAGTAACATCTACGAGCATACATACGGGATGTTCCAAAAAATGTGCCTTCTGTTTGAATGTTAATAACTTTCTTGTAGTGGATTCTTTCGAAAAGCTTCCGGCACCATTTTGTAGAGCTGTCTCCAATTTACGAGGGAAGTACTTTCAATGGCCGTGGCCTTTTGATATGAGATGCATATCATCTGAAACAGCTTCGAACGCTGATTTCAAACCTGCTTTCCGTTTCTGCGAGCGCCCTTCTGAAGGGAGTTATGGAAACCTGAAAATCCTATTTTGAGGGGCTCTTTGAGTTTGAGAGCGGTGCTATGTGTGATGGTGGTGTGGTGGTGGGATGGTTAGTTGTTGGCAATGAAGGCGAAAGGTCGGCGGTTTGAGTCCGGTGCAGGGCAAACCATTTTGCGCTTTTGTGAGTTTAAAACACTCTAATTCGTCTGCAGTCACTTACTGTAATATCCTTGGCAAATGTGAACTAAGGGAAAAATTTTCTGGCATAACTGCTTGTAATGGGGCCCTGAAACCCTACCTGACTTCGTTACCAGTAATATAGGAATGAACATGGTAAAGCATGTTTACCACCATATAAAGCTCAAGGAAGCACACTATCATTAATCGAGAAGATGTTCTCTCCTGTCTTTAATTTAATGGGTACTTGCGAGTATGAGAATTGCGTGGAGTTTTTCCTCATACGCTGTTGTGGTTGTGAAAAATGTTTCAAAAAATGTTTGTATTTTGCCCAGTTTGTAATTTCGCTTCACCTCTGTACATATGTTTTGCGGAGAAATCTAAATCAACAAGCAAGCGGTTTTGCCAGAAAATTCTTCCTTAGGTCACATTTGCTAAGGGTATTACATAAATGACTGCAGACGAATTAGAGTGGTTTTTAAACTCATATTCAAAGTGCAAATAGGCTCGCTCTGATCGGATTCGAACCATCGACCTTTCGCCTTCAATGCCAACAACCCACCATTACACCACTGCACCACCGACGCACATAGCACCGCTCTCATACTCGGGGAGCGCCCCCTAAAATAGGATCTTCAAGCTTCCATAACTCTCTTCAGAAGGGCGCTCCGCATAAACCGGAAGCAGTTAAACAGCGTTTGAAGCTGCTTCAATGATATGCATCTCACATCAAAAGGACACAGCCATTGATAGTACCTCCCCTGTTAGATTTATGGTGTGGAGCGAAAACTGATCGCTTTTCATTATCGTGGGCTTACAATAGGAACTTTGAAGAGGGTTTTCCATAAAAGGCCATACTTTGCCTCAGAAAGCAAACAAAACAACCTGAAAACTCAACTTATCAGAATGCTTCATTAACATATTTTGGAGGCAAGTAGCACCGGCCGTTTTTTCAATGTCCCAAAATGTGCTCTTACACCTTTAAAAAGCTTCTTGTACATAGTTGAGTATCGAACTCAGCGTCCATGAAAATCCTATTGCAGAATTTTTGACATTTTTTTCCTGAAAATTTTTGAAACGGCAGATTTTCTCACAGTGGCACCATATGCTTGAACTTTTTAAAGTGATCATACCGTAATGAAAAATGATCAGTGACTCACTCTATACTTGCTCTATACTGTAAATCTAAGTTGAAGCCAACTCTACAAAATGGTGCCTAACGCTTTTTGAATGACTTCATTACAAGAGAGTTAAATCAACCAATAGGTACATTTTTCTGGGACATCTTGTATATTAGACCACGCTCAGGCACCTGACATGCGTAGAACGCAAAGCCAAATGTTGCACTATAAAGATTAGAAAATGCCATTTTCCTCTATATGTTCCTGTCCTCGTTTACGGGTACCCACTCAATAAGCTTTTGGTATAAGATCTTCCTCTGGGTTGTTCCCATCTGTATTTGTAAAGTTTATTGAAATATTGCATAGCTTTCTGCTTTACATCATTTAGTATACCATTCCTCAGTGAGTCTGCGTCAGACTGTGAATCGAAGGGAAATGAGTCTACAACCTGCATAATGAAAGAGAAGGATAGCAGTATGTGAAAGTGTTGCTTATGGAAGTGAAAATGCAAGTTCCGGAAAGCCTACAGGTTTGAAAAGGACAGAATCTTTATAAGAGAGCAGCACTAGGTCTACGCACTCCATTGTAAGCGCTGCTCTGCGTGATTTTGTTTTCTTCCTCTCTTAACCTACGATACAAACTTTAGTTTGTATTCGCGCGTTCACAATCTCAGACAGTCGCCGAATAGGCGGCCATGCGTTTTGTAGACAAGTGAGCACTGAGAAATAGACCGCTGATTTTTGCAGTCCGCTTGCCGAGATATGGAAGATTGTCGGCCCATCTTTGAAGATCGTTCATAACCAGGGTTGAACAAGAAGTCAGGCACAAGTTCCACAAAAACGACCTCCCCCTTGTGAGAGCTCCTTAACGACCCCTGCATTTCACCTCCAGGACCTCAGGTTGTGATGTGTTGAAGAAAACCACCCTTTACTGGAGGTTTCTTGTTTTTTTTGGAAGTCTGTATGTCCGGCTTCCTGCGATTGCACGAATAAACATAACTTGACGGCAAACCTTGGATTGGGATAGCCCTCTGTTCGAAGCTATAATTTTCACATGGCAATGGCGTACCCAGGATTTCGGCTCAGGGGGGGGGGGCGCGACAAAACATTTTTTTAAATGAAGGTGCGTGGCGTCAGCCACGCACTCCGAAAAAATTTTAGGGGTGGTTTCAAAAATTTTCCGGCCTCATAACCCCGAAAATCCAGAGAAAGGGGGCGTGGAGTCAGCCACGCCCCCGAAAAAAATTTTTTACAGGGCTAATTTGAATTTTTAAAAAATTTTAAAAAATATTTCAAATATTTACAAGTATGGAGAAGTCATTTGCACAATTTTATAGCTCATGTAAGCAACTTTCAAAAATTTCGCGACCCGTTCTCGGGGGGGGGGAGGCTTTGAGCTCAATACTCATACTAGAAAAGGAGCGATATGATTATTGAAGGCAAGTTAAGCGGTCAGGTGCAAGACTATAAAAGCTAAGGTTTTTGAGTGGTTGCGGCTGACCCCATTACCTTCATTTCCGAAGGTGCTTATCCATTTAAAATTTATGTGATTCGCTAGCACAATCCTCGAAGTG